CTCACAACTCTTTGCGAAAGGAGACTTAGTCATCTTGCCGAGCAAGCATGATTCACATGTCTCGAACGACCCAAAGTCTGTCGAAGTTAGGAGTCCATAATCATGGAGCTTCTTCATACGTTTCAGACTAATGTGCCCAAGTCGGCAATGCCAGAAGTATGTCGGATTTATCTCATTGGGCTTATGCCTCTTGACATTCATGTTATAGACCGATTCCTATTCTAGATTCAATATAAATAACCCATCAACAAGGGGTGCATAGCCGTGGAACATACCATTCAAATAAATCGAACAACCATTATCCTTTAAATTGAATTCATAATCCTGACTCATCAAGCATGAGGCAGAAATAATGTTTCGACTAAGTGCAGGAATGTAATAACAATTATTCAATTCCAAAATAAATCCAGAAGGAAGCTGGAGCTGCATCGTGCCGACCTCCAACGTAGCAACTCTTGCTTTGTTGCCGACCCTGATGTCAATCTCTCCTTATGCCACACGCCTAGTTCTTACCAGCCCCTGCATCGAGTTGCAAATATGAACAACCGATCCGGTATCAAATACCCAAGAGCTACTAGGTATGTCAGCAAGGTAAATGTCTATAACATATGCAACAAGTGTACCTTTGCCTGAAGAAGCATTCCCGGCCTTCTTGCCATGCTCTGCAAGCCACTTGCTACAGTTCCTCTTCCAGTGACCAGTTTTCTTGCAATGATAGCAAATGGTCTTTGAGTCCGGTCCAGACTTCGGCGCAGTGGCGGAGGTTACCATATCCATGCCCTTTGCCTTAGCCTTCTTCTTAGACCAACTCTTCTTGAACTTAGCCGATTTCTGCACCATCAACACTTGATGCGTGCCTTTCTTAATATCCTGCTCTGCCACTTTGAGCATCCCATGCAATTCAGTGAGCTTCTTATCCATGCCATGCATATGATAGTTCGAGATGAACGTCCCATAGCTGGGCGGAAGAGAACCCAGAACTACATCAGTAGCCAGCTCATCCAAGAGCGGGAAGCCCAACCGATCCAAAGCTTGCACATATCTGATCATCTTGATCACATGCGGGCTCAATGGATCGCCTTTCTTCAGCTTACAATCCATCAAGGATCGCTAGACATTGAACCTTTCAGTCCTAGCCTGCACCTGAAATACTCTCTTGAGACTCTAGATCATATCGAAAGCCCCAACATCTTCGAAATGCTACTGCAAATCGGGCTCCATACAAGCCAGCATGAGGCAGTTGATCTCATTTGATTCATCAATGAGTTTTTGGTAGGCATTCTTGGTTGTGGTACTAGCATTATCGGCAGGTTCCTCTGGAAGCGGATCCTCTAGAACATGTTCCTTTTTATCATGCTTGAGAACAATTCTCAAATTTCTATACCAGGTAGTAAAGTTTGTTCCATTCAGTTTATCCTTTTCCGGAATTGATTTCAATGCAAAGTTGGGTTGAGCAGGTGGTGCCATTGATCTACAACAGAAAAATATGCAATCACTAAGCAATGTGTTTATGTAGAGTAATTCTAGCCTTAAACAGAAATACTTCCACTGAAGTCAGCATCCCTCCGCAAACTCTCAGTGATTCAGGATCCGACTAGAACATGTGACTAGTGAGCTTTAGCATCACTGCTAGATAACATGCCTATCTGAGCCACCCCGGCCGGTTGACGTCACGACGGAGGCGCCTGCAAAGAAGCAGCAGGCCTCCGAGCCACGAGGTGGAGGCGTGAAGCGGACGGCGGATCCAGCTTGTCTAGATATACACCAAACTGGGCGGATCCAGCTTGGGTCAGGGGTGTACAGATGTACACCAAAAATTATCTGCAAAAAAGTCCATATACTATGTATAGTTATATGGCAGAAATACTAGGGTACATGCCTATGTGACCAACAAGCTTATCGGAAGCACGACAGCAGGCCAGTAGCCCACTAGCCCTGGAGAAGGGATCAACCACTTCTGCTCGCTGCCCACGCACGCGAGACTACCCACACGCAGACAAGCGGCGAGGCTAAAACCAATCTGAAATAGAAATTCCTAACTGAATGTGTAGCTTTGTTTGGATTTAGAGAGAGAGTTCCTAGACAGAAGTGGCTCATTTTATAGAGTGAAGATCTGATTGCCTCATTTGCTTTGGTTGATTTCCAACTGAATGAGACCACTTCTGATCGCCAACTAAATGAGGCCACCTCTATTAGAGCATCTCCAATAGAAGATGTAGATACAAAAATAACTATCTTTTACATCTTCAAGTTCAAAAACATCTTTTCAATAGATGATGTAGATGTAAAAAAATATCGCCACCTCTCAGAGATGTAAAATCCAACACCTTCCATTGTAAATTTGCATCTCCGCCGACTAGATATGTAAAAAGGATAGCCGCATGTCAACCGCCAACTGCCGTTTCTTTTCGTTTCCGCGCGACCGCCGCTCGTCCGCCTCCGCCCCCC